AAGAAATATTCCAAGTAATGAAAAACAGAGGCCTACAACCAAGGCTACTTTACCCAGCAAGGCTCTCAATCAAGATGGAAGGCCAAAAAAAGAGCTTCCAAGACAAAAGAAGTCTGAAAGAATACGCCTCCACCAAACCAGCTCTACAAGAAATAATAAAGGGACTGCTTTAAGGAAAGGAAGGAAAAGAAGGAGACAGAGAGGAACACAGGTACAAAAATGGCAATGAATAAGTACTTATCAACAATAAACTTAAATGTAAATGGGTTAAAAGCTCCAATCAAAAGACACAGAATAGCTGAATGGATAAGAAAGCCTGACCCACACATATGCTGCCTACAAGAGACCCACCTCAGGACAAAAGACCATCACAGACTAAAAGTGAAAGGCTGGAAACAATTTTTCCAAGCAAACGAACAGGAAAAAAAAGCTGGAGTAGCAATTCTCATATAGGACAAAATAGACTTCAAAAAAAGGGCCATAAAGAGAGACCTAGAAGGCCACTTCATTATACTCACAGGAAGAAATCACCAAGAAGATATTAATATTGTAAATATATATGCACCCAACATAGGGGCACCAAAATATATTAAGAAATCTTAGAGGACTTCAAGAAAGATATAGACAGCAACACAATTATAGTAGGGGATTTTAACACCCCACTATCAAAAATGGACAGATCTTCCAAAAAAAATATCAACGAAGATATTGCTGGATTAAACAACACTGTAGATGAAATGGACTTAACCGATATATATAGAGCCCTTCATCCCAAAGAAGCTAAATACACATTCTTTTCAAATGCACATGGAACATTTTCAAAGATAGACCACATGATAGGACACAAAATGAGACTCAAAAAATTCAAGAAAATTGAAATCATACCAAGCATCTTCTCTGACCACAAGGGACTGAAATTGGAAACCAACCCCAAAGGAAAAAACCCAAAGCACCCAAAATCATGCAGACTGAATGGTATGCTATTAAACAATGAGTGGGTCAAGAATGAAATTAGGGAAGAAATCAAAAAGTTTCTGGAAACAAATTAAAATGATCTCACAATAACCCAAAACTTATGGGACACAGCCAAGGCAGTCCTAAGAGGGAAGTTTATAGCAATACAGGCCTACCTAAAGAAGATAGAAACATTTCAAACAAACAACCTAACCCTACACCTGCAAGAACTCAAGGAACAACAACAAAGATAGCCCAGAGCAAGCAGAAGGAAGGAAATAACCAAGATTAGAGCAGAATTAAATGACATAGAAACTAAAAGCACAATTCTAAGGATCAATGAATCCAGGAGTTGGTTCTTTGAGAAGATAAACAAAATAGACAAGCCCTCAAATAGGCTCATCAAGAAAAGAAGAGAGAGGACACAAATAAACACAATCAGAAATGAAAGAGGAGAGATTACAACTGATACCACAGAAATAGAAGGGATTGTAAGAAATTACTATGAAGAACTGTATGCCAAGAAATTTGAAAACCTAGGGGAAATGGAGACATTTCTAGAAAAATACAATCTTCCAAAACTCAGTGAAAAAGAAGCAGAAAATCTAAATATACCAATAACAGCAAAAGAAATTGAAGCAGTAATCAAAAAACTCCCATCACACAAAAGCCCTGGACCAGATGGTTTCACAGGAGAATTCTACAAAGCATTGAAGGAAGAGCTAATCCCTATTCTCTACAGAATATTCCAAAAAATCCAGAAGGATGGAAAACTCCCAAATTCTTTTTATGAAGCCAGCATCATCCTAATTCCAAAACCAGATAGAGACACAACAAAGAAAGAGAACTTCCGGCCAATATCGCTGATGAACACAGATGCTAAAATCCTCAACAAAATATTGGCAAATCGCATCCAACAATATATCAAAAAGATCATACACCAAGACCAAGTAGGATTCATCCCAGGGATGCGAGGATGGTTCAGTATTCCCAAATCAGTAAATGTAATACATCACAGAAACAAAAGCAAAGACAAAAATCACATGATCATACCAATAGACGCGGAAAAAGCTTTTGATAAGGTACAACACCCATTTATAATAAAAACACTCAGCAAAGTGGGAATACAGGGATAATTCCTCAATATAATAAAGGCCATATATGAGAGACCTACAGCCAACATCATACTCAATGGGCAAAAACTAAAAGCTTTTCCACTAAGATCAGGAACAAGACAAGGATGTCCTCTTTCACCACTTCTATTCAATATAGTATTGGAAGTTTTAGCCACAGAGATCAGGCAAGAAAAGGAAATAAAAGGCATCCAAATAGGAAAGGAGGAAGCAAAACTGTCATTGTTTGCAGATGACATGATAGTATACATGGAAAATCCTACAGACTCTACCAAAAAACTGCTTGAACTAATTAGTGAATTTGGAAAAACAGCGGGTTACAAAGTCAATATCCAGAAATCAAAGGCATTTTTGTATACCAACAAGGAATCAGCAGAAGCAGAAATCAAGAAAAAAATCCCATTCGATATAGCAAAAAGAAAAATAACATATCTGGGAATAAACCTAACTAAGGAGGTAAAAGACCTGTGTGCAGAAAACTACACAGCTCTGAAGAACGAAATCAAGGAAGACACAAACAAATGGAAACATATACCTTGTTCATGGATTGGAAGAATTAACATCATCAAAATGTCCATACTACCCAAAGCAATATACAGATTCAATGCAATACCTATTAAAGTACCAATGGCATATTTCACAGATATAGAGCAAACACTTCAAAAATTTATATGAAACCATAAATGACCCTGAGTAGCAGCTGCTATTTTAAGAAAGAAGAACAAAGTAGGAGGGATCACAATAGCTGATATCAAACTGTATTACAAGGCCACTGTAATCAAAACAGCCTGGTACTGGCATAAAAACAGGCACATAGACCAATGGAACAGAACAGAGAGCCCAGAAACCAACCCAACTCTCTACAGTCAATTAATATTCAACAAAGGGGGCAGTAACATAAAATGGAGTAAAGATAGCCTCTTCAACAAATGGTGTGGGGAGAACTGGACAGCTATGTGCAAAAAAATGAAACTTGAGCACCACCTTACACCATACACCAAAATAAATTCAAGGTGGATAAAAGACTTAAATATCAGCCATGACACCATTAAAGTCCTAGAGGTGAACATCGGCAAGAAAATCTCAGATATTTCACACAGCAACATTTTTACTGATATGTCCCCTAGTGCAAGGAATATAAAGGAAAGAATAAACAAATGGGATCTCATCAAAATAAAAAGCTTCTGCATGGCTAAAGAAAACAGTATTAAATTAAAAAGACAACCAACTGTATGGGAAAACATATTTGCCAATGACGCCTCAGACAAAGGTTTAATCTCCAAAATATACAAAGAACTTACATGACTCCACTCTAAGAAGACATCCAACCCAATTAAAAAATGGGAAAAGGACTTGAACAGACACTTCTCTGAGGAGGACATACAGAACATCCAGAGACACATGAGGAGATGCTCAATATCATTAGCTATCAGAGAGATGTAAATTAAAACCACAATGAGATACCACTTTACACTGGTCAGGATGGCTATCATAAAGCAACAAACAACAAATGTTGGAGAGGTTGTGGGGAAAAGGGGTCCTTATTTCACTGTTGGTGGGATTGCAGACTGGTACAACCATTATGAAAACAGTATGGAATTTTTTCAGAAAAATAAAAATCGACTTGCCTTTTGACCCAGCAATTCCACTGCTGGGATTATATCCTAAGAATCCTAAAACATTAATTTCAAAGAACCTATGCACCACAACATTCATAGCAGCACAATTTACAATAGCCAAGAGCTGGAAGCAACCTAGGAGCCCGCCAGTAAATGAATGGATCCAAAAATTGTGGTACATATACACAATGGAATTCTATGCAGCAGAGAGAAAGAAGGAGCTACTACCCTTTGCAACAACATGGATGGAACTGGAAAGCATTATGCTGAGAGAAATAGGCCAGCTGTTGAAAGACAAATACCATGTGATCTCACCTTTAACAGGAAGCTAAACAACAAAACGAACAAGCAAGCAGAATAAAAACAAAGACACTGATATAGAGAACAAGGGGACAGTGACCAGAGGGGAGAAGGAAGGGAATTTAAGGGGAAAAAAGGGGAGGAATTTGGAGGAACAAATATGAAGGACACAGGGACGAGAACTAAGGGGGGTGGAAATTGGAGGGAGGTGGGGAGCACGGTGCGTGGGGGGGGCTGGTATGGGAGAAATAGACAAAAAATTGTACTTGAAAAATAACTAAATAAAATTAAAAAATTATAATAAAACTATGTTGAATGAAACATTATTCAAAGACTTGCTATAGTTACTGAAAGTTAGATATTTCTCTACTATCTCCCATTTGATTTCTATATAATTTATAACTTTGTGCTAAAATTTGTTCATTATTTTTAGAAGCACTAACCTGAGGATCATCAACTAAAATCTTCCTGAAGAAATTTCCCTTGACTATTTGTAGAAGTCTTCACTTTCTTGGGAAGGCACCAAATCAAGGCAATGAAGCTTCTTCCCTTCATAGACTCATTGACTTTTCTCTAATGAATGCTCTAAAAGTATATGGATTAACTCTATTATCCAGGCTTGTACAACTACTAATAAAATAATTTTCCTTATTGAATAAGAATTGTCAATGGCAAGATAACATTGAAATTAAGCAGCCGAGTAAGACATTAAGCTTTCTCAGCATCATCTCACTGTATTCTCTGTGACAATATATGGGAAAAAATTTCTACTTATAAAAATAGAGTTTATAGCCCTCGAAGACTAGGCAACTCGGGGGAGGCAGTAGCATCGCTACCGCAAGGGGTACGGCCGGCTGGGCCAGGGGCTGCCAGTGCGGGCCAAACTATTGTTGGGGGAGAGGGCATTACCGAGAGGCAGAGTCAGAAGTGGGGGCAGGAGTCCGGGGTGAGCAAAAGCGGCGACAGAGGCGAAGAGTGCAGGCACTTCCTGGGGAACACGCAGACCTGTTGCATGAAGCCTAGTGTCAGCCTCAAGCTGAGCCGGGCGCTCGGAGCGAGCAGAGCTGGACTACGTGCAGTATGAGATCTATGAGGCGGCGGCTGGGGACGCGGTGGCAGTAGCACCTTCACCCGCTGCCCTGGACCCCGCTGAGTTGGATTTCGGAATGGGAGAAGGCTACAGCCTGCAGCACATAAGCGACCGGGAGATGCCAGACGAATTAGCTGTGGAATCAAACCCTTCTGACCATCCGAGGGCAAGCACGATTTTCCTGAACAAATCTCAAACGGATTTGCGAGAAAAGAGGAAGAACAACTATGTAAACCATGTATCTCCAGGGCTCCTTACTAAAAAATAGCTCATGCTCAACATTATTTCTAGATGACAGCACAGTCAGCCAGCCTAATCTTAGAACCACAATACAATGTGTGACCTTAGGGATATATTACCACATAAAGAACAGAGATGCAAATAGATCCTTGGATATTTTTGATGAGAGATCACATCCACTCACACGAGAAAGAATTCCAAAGGAATACTTTAAGCATGACCCAGAGCACAAATTTATTTACAGATTTGTTAGTAGTTTTTTCAGTGCCGCACAGCTGAGAGCTGAGTGTGCCATAGTAATTTTGGTTTACTTAGAAAGGCTTTTAACTTATGCTGAAATCAAAATTTGTCCCACTAACTGGAAAAGAATTACTCTGGGAGCCGTTCTTCTTGCCTCCAAGGTCTGGGACTATCAGGCTATGTGGAATGTGCACTACTGCCAGATTCTCAAGGACATTGCAGTTGAGGAGATGGAAGGGCATTTTCTGGAGCTACTTCAATTTAATATTAATGTTCCTGCCAGTGTTTATGCCAAATACTACTTTGACCTTCGCTCCTTAGCAGATGACAACAACCTGCCTTTTTGTTTTGCACCTCTTAGCAAAGAAAGAGTACAGAACCTAGAGGCCATTTCCAGATTGTGTGAAGACAAAGACCTGTGCAGAGCTGCTATGAGAAGGTATCTCAGTGCCGATAATTTTATTGGTATTCAGCATTCTAAAGCCATACTGTCTTAAGGGAGAAGTGAGGGGTTGTAACATCATGAGCCCCTGATCTACGAGGACTGGGACAATACCACCTCACCTGCTCAAAAACCAGCGGAGTTAGTCCCTCACCTGGGCAGACTGGAGAAATACCATCTCTCCTGCCCAAGAACCAGCAAAGTCAGTAAGACAGACATCAAACTGAAGAGCCTCATGGACAGCAAGTACTATGTTATAGGAAAATGAAGTGACTAGACACCGAGGGATTCTCGAGTACGAGGTTTATTAACGTGCACAGGCCCAGAGGAGTGAGTCTCCAAATTCTGAGCCCCGAACAAAGGATTCTTGGGGTTTATATAGCCTATGGGGTCTTCCTGTCTACGTAGCAAAGCGAGACACAGAAGCAGAATGAAGTAATTAGTTCTATTTACGGGGCAGAAGCAGAGTACAAAGGCAAAATGTGAAAATTAGTTCTATCAGTGGGGGTGCTAGCCCCAGTCCTTGTGACTATCCTGCTGTTTGCTTTTCCCAGATGGCCTTATTGTTCTCCCAGGGTGCCTGGGGTTTTGGGTGAACAAAGGTTTTCCAAAGTTTCCCACATCACTGTGCTTGTGGGAAAGAATGGGACCTTGTCAGTGCAACACACTCTTTGTCCTTTACTAAATGAGTTACAAAAACCACTCCAAAGCAACGGCTCCCAACCCACACACAGATATTTGCTTACAATGCAGGCTGATAACTGTGAACTGTGTGAGGTTCTTTTATTGAAGTTTAAAACTTGAGACTTGAAAGACACTAACCATATATAACTTTTATGTCTTTCCTGTTTTTCTGAACTGCCCCTCCAAGAAAGAAAACAGAAACCCCTCCCCCACTGTTGCCGCATATTCCTTCACAGTCAGTGCAGTATATTACCATTAAAACAGGGGGCTCCTAACAACCCATAAAGCCACTGAGCAACAGACTGTGTAGCACTGTTAGGCATTGAAGGGTTCGTCCTACTACATCCTAGAAGCTGCTAGCTTATTATTGGCCATCAGTTTAAACCAAAAAGCTGCTGAATAACACTTGCCATTCAAATTCTTTGCAAACACTGCTTATTAGCATATTGGCATGTTTGGGATAAGAGAAAATTTCAATCATTGATTATCTACTTACAGTGGGTCCATGCTACATATCTTAAAAACTATATTGGGATTAAAAAATAATCTATAAGGATGCTTCTCATTATCTGATGTGTTTCTTTGTTGAATAAATATATCAATAGATATTTCCATAATTCCAATCAATGTGTTGGTCCAGTGATAACAAGCAGGTGATGAAATAGGTGTTCCCCAACTGCGGCGTCACATGCCTGGGCCCTCCAAGTGCTGCTGGGGAAGGAGTAGTGCCACTCACTCACAAAGAAACATCACGTGGAAGCTTACATTTCTATTTCTTGTAAACTTAGTTTTGTAAATTGTTAAAATGAGAAGCTTCAGCCAGTCTTTGCCATCGTCAAGAGGGAGCTGAAACAAGAAATTAAAAGCTTAAATGTTTAAGAAACATTTAAATTTTCAAATGTTTAAGTCTGTAGCATTTATACACCAAGTGCCAAAGCTTAAAATCGCACTGGGACTTTAAGGGACACCTTGTGTCTCCACAGAAATGCCCTCCTCTTTTAAAATAAATCTTTGCAAGTCCTCATATAGGTTATTTTATTGCTTTCTATTTATTTTTCTTCTTTTCTCTTTTTTGCTCAATCCCTCCCCTCCCAGTCCTTCAGCGCTTCCCCTGACACAACAGCTGTCTGCCCGCTGTCCACCCACAAGTCTGTCTCTGTTTTGCTTGTTAGTGCATTTTGTTCATTAGATTCCACATATGGTGTGAGATCATATGGTATTTGTCTTTTTCTGACTGGCTTATTTCACTTAGCATAATGTTCTCAAGATCCATCCATGCTATCACAAAGGGTAATTTTCCATTTTTACTGCCAAGTAGTATTCCATTGTGTAAATGTACCACAGCTTTTTTACACACTCATCTGTTGATGGGGAATTGAGCTGCTTCTAAATCTTGGCTACTGTGAATAATTCTACACTGAACACAGGGGTGATCAGATAGTAACATTTGTTTTCTCCCAAGGTTAAAACATGATAGGTCTATTTTGATACAAGGTTCTTAATGGTTTAAGTTCTAATCTTTTAGGATATATAACTTTGGATCTGCAAGAATAACATTACAAGGAAACTTCAGTATAATAAATTTGAACAATTTTGACAGAAGAAATAGAAATGTAAATCCAAATATCATAAACAAATCACCAAAAATAAATAAATGAAAATAGTTATTTGCAAGCTATGCTGTATACCCGCTCTGACCATCAAAGTGTTATTTTTCTAGATTTGGGAAAGGAAGATTATGAGGAGCAGTGTTAACTGACATGTAATACATTTAAAGGAAGTAGACCCCAACAAATAGTGTTTTGAAAGCAGTTGATAGGAAATAGCTCTTCTACCCTACATGTTGACTTGGCTGTAGGGGTCCCAATTCAGTTTTGCTATCTATGAGGAAACACAACTTTTAGGAACCCTTATCCCAGGCTTTGGGCAGGGAGTTGGGTAATCAATCTTTTCGAAGATTGGTAAAATGTCACCTAAACTTGAAATATTTAAAAAAATGTTCTCAACTATGTGAAATCTTTCATTTACCTACCTTCTCAAATGTATTCCTAGGAATTTGGCTTATAAACAAAGCATTTCTGGGCCAAGGAACACTTTTTCTCAATATACAGTGCTTCGTATTATATTGAGTACTATGGGTTCCATCATTTTTAAAAGACAGAAACAAAAAATAATGGTATGTAAAATACTACAATCTACCACCTCAAATAAAAAACATTGTTTATGAAGTTCAGAGCTTGGAGATTTAAGTATTGATCGCAGTTTTATTTTGAAAAGAATGCTACAACTTATCTGTTTTTTTCTTCCTCATGTTTATATTAAAAGAAAAGCTAATAAACCCTATTTTAATTAAAAAACAGAGCTTATAGAAGAAGTTTGCTCAGTGTTAGATACTATCAGCATAGACCCCAATAAAAACTCTTGACCTTTACCTTTCACCAAAAAAGAGTAATCCAAGGAGGAAAGAGCAAAGAATCTATGCTGTGCACTCAAAAACACTATAGGGACAGAGAGAGAGAGAACACATGAACTTTGAAGTCATAAAGAACTGCATTTGAATTTTGGCTCTACCATTCACTTACCAGCTGCATGATTTTAACCAAATAATTTACTCTGAAGAGGGCCTTGGCTGTCTAATCTGGAGAGTGGAAATATTAATACTACCACATAATGTTTGGGGAACATTAAAAAATTAATAAATGTAAAGTAACTGACACATATCACATTTTTCCCAGATTCCTTGTTCTCTTTTTCCCAAATTATGTATAAAAGTGAACATTAGCAAGTTCAATACACAGGCTACCTCATATCCCATGAGCAATTAAGCCATCATCCAATCCAGTAACAATGATTACAAAATGGAATATACTGCTATTCAGAAGATATTGAGCTCCAAATATTACTCTGGAAGACAGAATACATTATTAATAAGTATTGTCTTGGACCACCAGTTAATCATTCAATCTTTTATATAACATTTTATTCATGTGGTGCTTTCAATTCATTGTTGTAGACCACTCTGCCTGGTTTTAGGAATGGTATCTCAATCCCTTGTGGCTAAGGGCAAGAGATGACCTCTGGAATGCCAGCTACAGGAGACAAAGCCTATCTCTGGTAGCAAACTGTGCCTCAGTTTCCGCTCCCTGCCCCCAAAGCTTGGTCGGAAGTCAATGATGGGTAAGACCCCTCACAGTGGGGGGCAACCTAAGCCAGACTCGATCACTTAGGAGGCCTTCATGGAAGGACTTGGGGGGGGGGCTGCAACAAAGAGCAATGGACTCTCGCCCCCTGGCTTTGACAAAGCCTGAGTCCCCATGTTCTCTAGGAGAAGCACTTCCTGGCTCTAATCCCCTTAAGCCTGAATACCTGATGGGGAGAGGTGCAGCTCCTTGCCTTGCTAGAGCATGTCCTGGGGGAAAATCTGGCATCACAAAGACTTGCTGATAAAGCTGGGAAATCTGCTCTGCTAAGAGTGCTTTCATTCATATGATAAGGGTCTAAGAGGAAGTGAGTATGTCTCCCAAAGTTTCTGCAACTCTCTTCCTGACAGACTCTGAAGCCCTCAGATCTCTTTGAAATGTTATCTACTGTTTGATCCTTGCTGCCCTGTATTCCTGTGTATTACAACACAATAAAATTCCTGAAGCAGGGGGCTCGGGGCCTTTTTCTCCTCGGAGAAACTGGCCATAGCTCACTTCTCCTCCCCAAGCAGATCACGTCATGTCTCAGCCATATTCATTCACTCATGTCCGTGGCACTTGGGGGGACTCACGAAGAAGTTGCCCCCACAGTTCATTACCCAGATATATAATAATAACTTAGTTAGTGTTACTATGAAATAAAGATAATTTATAGATGAGACTGAGTATAAAGAAAAAATATTTGCATAGATAATTTGCTTGCAGAGAAGTGCGAAGAAACTCTCAGTGTGGTTAGAGACAGTTTGGGGAAATGTTTTTGCACATTAAATCAGGTAATCTCTACAATATTTTAGCATTTGTAAATTTCAAACATAAGAAATGATATTTTACTTATTTAAAAAATTATTAACATGATCTGCATTCTAAAGAGAAAATAGTTGTCAGCTGTAAAAAGCAATCAAATCACAGTATTCATTTGCTTTACAACTGTTTTACTTTAGTCATTTTAATAGGAATAGCTTTAAGAGAAAAAAGAAATAAAAAATACAGCTTTGTTATAAGAAAAGAAAACTTCTGATGGCTTCCCTACGAATTTATCTTACTTCCACCATTGTTATATAACAACAAGTTTCCAAATCAAGCCATAGGGTTTTTCCTTAGAGTCACTCTATTGTTTATAAAGGACAGTGTCTAGACTCATTTTTAATAGTGCATTAACCCATCTATAGCCAGCTCAAGGATGACTAAACTCTCAACAGAGCAATTATTTATAGCTTTAAATTGTAAGGACATCCACT